TATCAAAATTTTTGAGAATATCTTATATTTAAAAATAAGATCTCTTTAGATGGAGGTGATTTGGAAGGTAATTTATCCAGTATGTTCTAGATTTAAAGCACTAACTCAGTGGTGCTGCAAACTGTTTTATCATGACATCCCACACATTTAGTGATTCTAATCTCTAATATGAACTAATTCCATATTTCGTTACTTTCGTACTATGCGAGTGAATTTCTAAGTAGTATTTAAAGCAATCTTACAGACAATTTAAGCAACCATAAATTTAATTTTGGAAGTCCTCATATTTTTTAAGTGAATCTTTTCTACAAACAATTTTCATTTTAAAGTGACAACTTTTCTGTTGTCTTGATGTGCCCAATGTTCGACACTCAAAGGAAACAAAGTGTGTATGTATGTTCCCATGTGCTTTAGTCTACGTCACTCACTTAGGTTGTTAAAGCACAGGTACGTGTGTGTGCATGTGTATATACATTTAAGCCCCCCCCCCCACCAAACGCACAAACCAATAGTAGAGAGATAGTACCTATTTCTCATTAGGTGAAATGCATGTTTTTATTTTGCACATATGAGTGCTTTCTACTTTGAGAAGTCTCCAATTAAAAAAGAAAACAGAACAGAGAGTGAATGGACGTTTACTTTCAAAATACAAAAGAATTTCCCAAAGGATCACCTTAATGTTAAGTCCTAGAAAATTAAGTTTATGTTTTACAGAATTTGGTAAGACACAGATTTTAGAAACTTAATTGCTGTATTCTGCAAAGAATACCAGTATATTTATACCTGTTCTTAATGATTACATTTAAAACAAATAATATATATTTGCAATCATATGTGTTTTGGTAATATAACCTTAGTTTTAATTTTTATATGACGGTGACCTAAGACTATAAAGTATAAGCATGATTAATCCTATTTTTTTTCCTTTTTAGGATCTCTGGAATGTGATTTTTAGATATTAGCCTCATCCTCAATTCTAAGAAAGCATAAAAAACTTTTTAAAGTAATATCCCATACTAAAATGTGTAATAAAAGTGGTTGTATCTTTTATGTGATACTTTTAAGTAAGTATAAATTATATAAAGAATAATCAAACATATAATTGCAATTAGCATTTCATCAAAACTAAGAGAAAACATATAATATATATTATATTGAATATAAAATATATATTATATTATATGGGCTCACATTTACAAGGTGAAATCTTTGAAACTGACAGTCTCTCAAATTTTCTATAAAAATTAATGAAATAAAATATATATTTTTATAACTTGTACATTGTAACTTGTCTATTTTTGAAAAGTAATTTTAATAACTTAAAAACATAAAGGTTCTTTATTTTGCTCTGTTCATTGTGGTCATTAATTTCCAGCTCAATTACTAAAGTATCAGCATATCTTATTTTGAAGCTGAGAGTCATGTAATTTAAGGTGACATGCAGGTATTCTATTCAATACTTTCTGTAATTAGTGTACCAATTTCATAGACGCTTACAATTGTTATATCTTACATTCTACAAATTTGAATATTTTATGCTTTGATATATATTAATTCCACACTCAGGTACTTTTATATTATGAATTTATAAGTAGTATTTAAAGCAATTTTTCATAAAATATTTAATCTATGTAAAAAATTATAGATGCTGCACTATAATTTTTTCACATACCCAATACGTATAGAAAAGAAATCCATACAGATGCAGAAACTAAATAACTCTGAAGAATTAAATATTAGTACATATTAACAATGCTAGATTTTTTAATAAACAAAACAAGGGTCAATAGTTTTATTGACTTTTACTACTACAACTAAAAGTTCCCTCCCCCTTTCAATCAACCAGTTTTACTAAGGAATAATTCTTTGTTATAGCAACATAAACTAATAATTATACCTTTTACTTACTTATCACTTCAAAAAGTTTACAGAGTGCTTTACATGCATAATAAATAAAATTTGCAGCTTGCTAAATCTCGATATAGGTAACTGACAATTTAAAGCCTTAAAACACATAAGCTATAGCTAACCCATTATATAAAATGTGATAGATTCAAAAAGATATTTTAAATACCAGGTGTCTCTGTTTCATTTTACACTAATTCTATGTACTATAATTTGATTTCATGAAATTTTCAAGAACTTAGCATTTGTATTTTCTTCAAATAAGTACAACCACCTGTTTCTTTAGAAGCAGAGTTTCAAAAATATTGTCCTAAAATTCTGTAATGATAAACAAAATGATGAAAATCTATTATTAAAAGAACGATGAAGGTAGATTTTTATAGAGTCTAAATTAATTTAGGAGTATTGTACCAATGATTGCCTTGAAACCCAATGAAATATTAAGAGATAGACATGGCTATTCAAGATATCAGGTCTTAAAAGCTAATAACTATTTTATAGTATATCCATACTTGGCATATTGAACTGTTATTGTATCATGACTGAAAACATTCTTAACTCTTGTATTAACTGAAATTATTCATGTACTGTACATCTCTTTGATTTCATATAAAACATGAGCCATTACCTTAGTGAAAGACATAAGTAACTTTGTAAGTAATATATTTACATACACTAGTTACTTTTGAAGAAAACTCTGAGCCTATATTTTAAATATGTATTTTTAGAATAATTAAATGACATTAATGGATAGGAGCATTTGAGCCTTAAAATCAAACCTATTTCATATCCAAATGACATTTTATTTAATAGACAAACTCTCTGCGTAAAACCATCTTCTGGATAAAATGTTCTGCTCTACCACTTCCGTTCTCTCAGACCACAGGGAAGGCTGTGCCTGGCATATTTTAGGGGTAGCCCAGTGGACTTGGGACATCCCATGTTATCACAGGGAAACCTCGTACCCTAGAGAGCAACACCTGGCGCCTGTGCTGAGACATACAGAATTACATGGAGAAAGTACAAACTTTGACTCCCTCTCATGATTAAATTCAGTTTAACAGACCACAGGCTAAAATGTCTAAATGAAAAAGAAAATTAATGAAGACCAGCTATTAGTTGTTCACATTAGGGAACCTCCAAAACCCAATCCTCTGGTTTTCAGCTTGGGAGACCAGAAACTCGAGAAGAGAGCAGCTGAGCTCTTGGGAGTACCAGCACTGAGTGGACACCTGGGTCTCCTTAAAGAACATCTCCTAGAGATGTCACTGAAGTTCTATGATTTCCTCTGCACTGCCTAGGCACTTCTTGAGGCTACCAGGAATCCTAAATTGATCCTGAGCATGCCTGGATTTCCGCAGAAGATTCGTTTGGCAAGGTATAGTTGCCTTCATGTGGCCATCAGTTGACCATGAGCTGTCATTTACAGGAAAGGAGAGGGAAAGGAGGATGTCAGCACAACCCAATGTCAACTCATTGTCACTGACTGAAGCAGAGGAACAATGTCCAGGCACTGCCCTGGAGCACACTGCAGAAGAGTTCATTCTTATGGGAGCAAACTCGCAAGGTAATGCCCGCACTCTGTCTGCTGAACACACACCGGCTTGTCCTTCAGGACTCAACAGAGGAATTGGGGTCTTTAGGAAACATTCCCCGCCTGGTGTCCCCTACTCCTGCATTAGGAGTTATCCCTACATACAACTGTGAGCTTAATCAAATTAGCACCCGTATCAAACACTACTGGAGCTACGTATTTAGATTTTTATCTTGAACATTAGAAGGTCAAGTTCCTACAAACAGAAACCATGATTATTTTATTTTTATGTCCCCAGGACTAAGGCCACTGCCTAGCTTTTTGCAAGTGCTCAGTAAATATTTGCTACATGGGAACTGACTGACCATGATGCTTCCACTACATCTGGCATATCTGCCACACCAATGATTTGAAGGCGGGGAAGATGAGATTCCTTAAGAAGCACCCAGGCTTAATTGTTCTTAGAAGAAAAGAGAGAGGATAGGCCAATAGCACAAAGAGAAAATGCTATACTGTCGTCCCCCAGTGCTGGAATAAATGCAGTTATATCCAGAAAACGTCAGTGAACCTGCCATCACTGACTAAATAACACCCTGTGGGCCTGACCATGGAGACAACATCATTTATTATAATAGTATTTTACTGTCATAAACACTTAAAACCAAAAACCTGGTTTAAGAAAAAATTTCTTAAATATATGGATATTTCTGGTACCCCATCTTCTATGTTGTAAACTTATCTGAAGCTTTCAAATGACTATTTATTCTCTCATTAATATATTATTACAAAGCACTTAAAATTGCTGTAGTTTTTTAGAATACAATAACTGATAGTGCTGAAATAAAAACATAATTTTCTATGTGGATCACTTTCTCTGAAATGAAATTTCATTCTTCTTTTGGAAAAATGGTTTTCCAAAGGGAAGTTCAATTTTTAAAAGTTACTATGAAAATATTTCTAATGACATAGAAACATACATTTACTTCATCAACAGATATAAAAGGATTGCCTACATATACAACATTAATAAGGCGTTTTATGAAAATAATAGGCCTGTAAAAGAAGTGGAAATCTTTACAAACTTCCCTGTCATTTATGGAAGATATAAATATTATTTACTTTTTGCCTCTGTAAATTTTAGTATGTTTTTATGAAACATCCTTGAAATAACAGGGGAACATCTTAAGATGAGGACTGAAATATGTCCTTTCATACATTTTATAGACAAAAGATGTGATCAAGGCAAATATAATCAGAGAATAAAGCAAACAGACTTGAATCTTTTTCACAATTGCACACAGAATAAAGCTTGATCAGTCAGAAGGTAAAGGGCTGCATATACAAAGCACAAAATACAGTCTAATAGTTCACATGCTTAGGTGATTTCAACTTAGTTCTTAGGTGGACCTTCATAAAAGTCTAATTTAAATAAAATATGTGTTAAACTCTTTCTCTCCCTTAAGACAAAACTATTTGAAACCTCTAAAATCTCTTAATCACTACACATTTTTACAATGCCAGAGAAGAAGAAAAAAGAGAAATTATTAATTTTTAAAATTACCCAGCAATTCCATTGCATCATCTTCATTTTCAATATCTTCTTCTTCTGTTACAGAAGGGGTAGGGCTGTGAATAGACTCAAAAGAATCTTGAGAGAGCATTGCTGCCAGCAGCTTCTTATGTTGCTGTTGCTGTTGTTTTAATCCTTTTGTCTTGGGCTCCACCTTTAAACTGAAGAAATATTTAAGTGTTAACTTTCAATGACGATGACATGATGCATTAGCTGTTGTAAGTAAAGAAAATCAATAAACACATTTCATTCAATTATTTTGTTATGTAAATTTATGAATGTATTAGTAAAAATTTCCCTGAGGATAATGAAAATATAAACCCTGTCTTCTTTCTTAGACATTCCGTGGTACCTCATTTCTGAAGTTGGTATAGAGCAAAAGTTTTTCGCTTTAATAAAGTCCAGCTTATCATTTATTTCTTTCATAGGTTGCATCTTTGGTGTTGTAACTAAAAAGTGATCGCCATACCTGAGGTCATATAGGTTTTTGCCTATCTTCTAGTTTTACAGTTTTGCATTTTACATTAGGTTTATGATCCATTTAGAATTAAAGTTTTTGAACAGTGTAAGGTCTCTGTCTAGATTCGTTCTTTTTTTACATGTGGATGTCCCGTTGTTACAGAACCATTTGTTGAAAAGAGTATCTTTGCTCCATTGGATTGTCTTAACTCCTTAGTCAAAGACTAGTGTACTAAATTTATGGGCTATTTCTGGGCTCTCTATTCTGTTCCATTGTATTTTCTTTTGCTAATATGCCTGTCTTGATTACTATAGATTTATAGCAAGTCTTGAAGTTGGGTAGTATCAGTTCTGCTATTTTGTTCTTCTCTTTCAATAATGCGTTCACTCTTCTGGGTCTTTTGCCTCTCCGTATAAACTTTAGAATCAGTTAGTTGAGATCCACGAAATAACTCGCTATTACTCGGTCCATTCAACAAGTTTTAATTCCTTTTTATATTTTTTTTCAGTTACATAATTTTCATTTGGTTCTTTTTCTATATTTCTATTTGTTGATGCTTTGTGTTTTCCTTTGTTTCAAGGGAACCTGGAATTGTTTGTTGAAGCATTTTTATGATGGTTGCTTTTTTTTTAAAAAAAAAAAAAACAGGATTAGTTACTAGATTTAAGAGGAAAAATCCAAAATGAAATTCAAAGTTGTAAAGTAAAATGGCTGAGGGTTCCAGTGCCCCTGACACTATCAGAGAAAATTATGAGAGTTGCAATTTCACTGAAGAAAGTAAATCATATATTGTAATCTAATGTCTGATACAAGGATGCTGTCACTTGGTCTTCTGACTCTTTTTAGGAAACACATTAATTCCAAGTCTTTGCCAGATAATTTCACCATCTGATTCATCTTAATGTTGGCATTAGTTGACACTTCTTCTCATTTAAGATGTGATTTTCCTTGTTCTTGATGTACTTAGTGATTTTTTTATTGTAGCCTGTACAATTAGCTATTATTTTAGGAGTCTCGGGGGCCTATTTATATCTTTTATTTCAGAAGGCAGCCACCTGGCCTACTTTTGTAGCCTGTGGTTCCAATGACAGTATAACTTGCAGAGCTCCTGAAGTGCTATATCAGTCCATTTGGTGTGTCTGGTGTTGCTGTGGTTCCTACTGTACCTGCTGGTGTTGCCTGAGGGGCAAACAGGGCTTCTCAAGGTTGTACCTCTGGGGCTTTTAGGCAGTCAAAGGGAATTTCTGAGTGTTGGGACAAAAAGCATTTCCATGTCAAGTTTTGGTGTGGAAAGATCCCCTTTAGTGGTATCTTTTGTTAAGTAAAAGACACTGAACTGCCTGGTGTCTTCAGTGGACAAGAGGAATCTTAAGTCTGTCCAGAAAGGATGGCATGTCCTCTGCCCATGTGTTGTGAGTGGGCCCCTCAGTCAATTCCCTGGTCAGTGCAGGTAGGCTCTCCTGGTGAGGCTGGAAGGACTGTGCTTGGTTAGGGAGAGAAATGAGCTTATCTGGGCCACCACCTCCTCTTGCTAGTTTGGGTTGCGAAATGCCAGGCCTAGGCTGCCTTATGCTGTTGGTGGGAGACTGTAAGTTGCCTACCACTGTTGTTCCTCCAGTTCTCAAGTCCCTAACCATTCCTTCTTCCTCTTTACAATTTCACAGCATAAAAGTTATTTTGGTTGCCTTTGGCACTATTTCCAAGGTTTATAGTTGTATTTAAGGGGGAGGAGCTGAGAGAATCAGTGCCATCTTTTCCAAAGCAGCCTCAACAGATACCTTGTTAATACACAGAGCAACTGATACCCTTACAATGGAGAAATCTAGTCGATATGGCCTTAACTAAGTCAACATGCTCAGCATCACCAATAATGGGGCAAACTGACATTATAAACCTCTATATGTGGTAAAATGAGGAACTATGCCATGCCCTCTATGTAGACTTCTTGCCAAAAATATTTAATCTGAAGTTAATGATTAGGAAACAATCACACACATTCAGATTTGGAAACAATTGCCTGTAGTCTACAAGGATATTGATGTTCTGAAAGAAAACAAAGGTAGAAGACTGTTCTACATTATAGGAGACTAAAGAGACTTGACAACTTAACTCTGCACATGATCCTCTAGTGGATGTTGGGTAAAAAAGAAACAAACAAAGTAAAAAAAAAAACTCAAAAATCCATAAAAAACTTTACAAAAATTAGAGAAATTTGAATATAAACTGTATATTACATGATTTTATGGTGCCATTGTTAAATGTTTTGGTATATTAATGATATTATAGCTATATAAGAGAATATCTTTATTCTCAGGAAACGAATGTTAAAGAATTAAGGGATTAACATGTTATAATACCTGTAACTTACTTTCAGGTGGTTCAGCAAAAAAAGAAAAAGAAATAGAATAAAATAGAATAGATTGATCTATTAGCAGAGATAGATAAAGCAAAGGCAAAATGTTAATTGGTGAATATATGTGGATGATATGTAGATACTGATATTACTGCTCTTAAGTTTTCTGTAGTTTGATACTTTTCCAAGTGAAAAGTTGAGGGAAAAAATAAGAAAAATTATAATGAAGGCATATTCTTGTCAACATTACTTATTTAAACTTTACCTTCTATCCAAACTTAGGTTTCCAACTTGAATAGGAACTGCTGCAGTGGTGAAAATAGGTATCCCTTTGAAAATATTTGTCTTTCTTTTAGTAATTTTCAGTATAATTCAAATTTAATGAAAGAAAATTATTTTATGCTTTAATAATAGAGATAAAACAAATATTCACTTGCAAACTGATGGAGGTCGATTTAGCCCCAATTTCTTGCCATGGCATCTGTCTTCTGAATGATCTCATCTCTGTCTTTTAAGCTGAGAAATAATGCAACAATTTTAAAGTATCCATTGACCAGACTTATTCTTTCAGAAGTAAACAAAACAAACCAAGACAATTTTTAATTTGACTTTCTTAGCTGATAGACCTAACATGCTAAATGGAATTTACATCTACATTATTTTTATTGAAGTCAAATTATTTTAAAATAATAATACTCATTCAGAACTTTAGCTCCATTAGTTTTTGATTAGGAGGCAAGATATACATATGAGAAATACCCGTGGATTGTGGGAGTGAAAACTACACCATGAGAGAGAACATAGCACCCCACCACAGGAAAGCAAAAGATGGAGAGAGATTGGTTTGGGGTGTTTCTAAGAGAACTTAGGGTTCTGGGTGCCCTGTTATGCAGATAATGAACCTAAATCTTCATGATAATGGGATTCTTAGAACTTCTCCCTGAAGACAAGCTGCATAGCAAAGCATTTAAGGGCACAGAATTTGAAGCAAGACGGCCTGTCTCTGCTACTTATCAGCTATCCAATTATGGGAGAGTAATGTAATCACTCTGGAACTGGGTTTCCTTATTCCTAGAATGAAGATAATAATAATGGTTTCATAAGCATGAAATGGGTTACGATATAGGAAGCACAAAAAGCATCTGAAGTGATAATATCATACATTCAAAGTACCCAATGGGCAGCATTCTAAATATTTACATGTCTCTTCTTGAACAGTAACATCCCACATGGAAAGCACAGCATAGAGAATATAGTCAATAATATTGTAATAACTATGTATGGTGCCAGGTGGGTACTGGAAATATCAGTGGAATCACTTTGTAAAGTATATGATTGTCTAACCACTATGCAGTACACCTGAAACTAATATAAAATAATATTGAATGTAAATTAAATTTGAATTAAAAGCAACCAAAGAGGCCTTAGGCCATATGCAAAAGAATAGTAGTTAATATTTCAATGTGGTGTTAATACACTCTAAGAATACAATTTGACTTGATTTAAAAGGGTAATTCTTTAACCAAAATCAGATGGAAAAGGGAGAGTTTAGAGCAGCCTCGATGTCCCCACCCCAATGTGCCTACCCCTCCAGGGGCAGACATCCTCCTCCCTCTGGGAAGGCCTGCACTCTGACCATTTCCCCTCTTCCTCCTGATACCACCCTTCCCCGGGTAACTGACCTTGTTCTATCTTGTTTCTGAATACAGGTTAGTAAGCATTCAGTCTATCTGACACAATATGTTTTCTTTGGTGGAAACTGGATGATCCTTCTCTTGACCTGTATCCTAAGCTTGCTTTTGTTTACTATCATAATCTAGTAGGCAGGACCTAAATGCTTTCCCTTGACTTGAATCAGAAATCAAAGTGTTCTCTTTGCATTAAGGCCCAGGTTGTTGAAGAGGTCATAAATTTCACACATAATTGCTGTGTTTTTTGATTTATGCATGAAATCTCTGTCTTTTTTTACATGCTATATACAAGGCACTGTGGGCACTGAGCTACAGAAATAAGACAATCCCTTCTCATTCTCTTCATTTCAAGTGAGCACTCTGAATCTAGGATTTTCATTTATTTCCATGCTGCCCTCACCCAGTATCTAGCACATTACTCTGTGTTAATGCTCAATAAATAAATTTAACCCTCATTTTTAAAGCACACTAAATGAAATAAGACTTAATTTAAGTAGATGCATATGAGTCTTCCAATTTGTCTCCAGGGGAAAAGAAAAACTGGTGGTGAAACAGAAGAAAGAAAAACATGAACATCAAAATGTGGAAGATAAGGAACTGGCAGGTTATAGATGTGTAACACCTCTTCATCAGCCAACAATGACCAAGAACATTTCTTGAGAGTTGAAGTAATTGTTTTCATTAGTCTCACTAAAATACGTGGTTTAGTTATGAAGATAGTGCTAGCCTATGAGACCTAACCTTTGATTAAGTCCCAATGCTGCATATTTAATAAGAATCCATCTATGAGTCTATGAGTCCATATTTTGAACATATAAAAATAGTAACATCAACATTCTAATATAAATGTACAATTTAGTTACATACTTTTTTGGCTTTAAAGAGAAATTTGTGAATCATAAAGTATAATTTTTGTATGCTGTGGATATTTTTAAAGTTTTTGTTCTTTGATGCCTTTGGCAGATTGATTTTTGATTAATCAACACTCTTTGTACTTAATATTTACATGTTAGAGTATTTCTAAATTAAGAAGTTTGATTTAATCTCTGCCATATGTGTTACATAGTTCTAGCATGTCCACATAGTAAAAATCTGACAATATTAAGGTTCTTTGTTCTCATACTTCTTCTTTTTTATTCTGGTTTATTGTCTATCATACTACTTGAATTTATAGTTTATATTTTTATACTCACTTATTTATTGTCTCTCGATGCCAATAAAAGGAACTCTATGAGGAGGGAAGCAGTTCCAGCCCTTGTTTACAGATATAGCAAAAACAATTATGAGTTTTAATGAAAAGGAAAACTCCTTAATGAAAGTGATTCTGGCTTTCACTTGAACAATATATATTTCTAAGTTGTAAGATTTTCTTTTTATTTCATGGCCTATTTACCTTCTAATAACAATGCTCACTTAACAAATAAAGCCAATTCATCAAATCTATATTATTTATTGATATTGTTCTTGTTTTAATAATGTTCAACTTAGAGAAGTTTCATTAGGCTTTTAAGCCTTGATGAGCCTATTTACAATTCACATTACAATTCAGCAAGTAATTCTATGAACTCCATTATCCAGCTATTGCAAAATCTAATTAAGTTGGCTTAAAAAAGAATTACATAGTTTTATTAAACTCAATTTTTGTTTACTATATATTACAAAAGTGTGACTATTTTCAACAACTCTAAATGCGCAATGAACATATATGTTGATCCCCTAAATGGCTAGACAAACTGTAGCCATTAATGCCAATTGGTAGTATCTGACAATCATGGGAAATCTTCAATCATTCCCCAACACATTCACCTCTTTTGTGAATCCCTCTTTATTTTGTAGCTTGGATGCTTTAATTTCTTTCCTAAACTGTCTTAATTTAGAACCACTTTGAGCATCTGTGAAAGATGTGACAGAACAATGCAGGAAAATGTCCACAGGCACATACACACAACATTATGTGCATCTAAAATTCAAGAGATTCACAGATTTCTTGAGTCCATCCAGAGACCATATAGGGGTCAGAGACCATGTTAAGAGCTTTTATCTTATTTTAATAGTTTCTCCACATTGCCCTCATAATTGCCTTTGTTTGGTCTAGCACTTAACCAGCAGTGTGTACTAAAGTTGTTGACCCTTTTCATACAATGCTGTATTGCAGAACCTAAAGAAAAAGTTCAGATAAAAACCTTTAAAGAAAAAAACACACAAAAAAGAGCTTCCAGGAAAAAACTATAGGTAAGTTTCTACCCATAAGGTTTTAAGGTTCACTCTGCCTTTTATATAATCTTCTCTAATCTAAAGGTGAAAGTCCAACGTATTGCAGTATGTATTACTCTGAATGAAAGGGAAAGTTAACTATGTACCAGAAATTGAGTGTTATAATACAGCCATTCAAATAAGACTTGAGCATTAAACAATAGGAAAGACAGAGATAGGAAAAGGGCAAAAAGTTAAGATGGACATTAACCGATCCTTATAAATAAGCTCCATTTAGCAAACGTCTAATGAAAGCCTTCTATGTGCTTCCTTCACTTGCATAACAGATGTCTATTGACGATGACAAAGTGCCAGTCCCAGTGGGGGAGCAAAAAATGGAAGAAGTCATCTTTGAAAGTTAAGTCTTTCAGGAGTCTAGAATATCATGTAGTTTGTGAGCACTTATGACTGTTAAGTTATAGCTCAAGTTCATTACTATTTAAGGACAAAAGCTAATACTATAGTTGCAAACTGTAGAGTCACTTAATTTCTTCTCAACCTATTTTTATTCATCCAAATCAAATCTAATGCTGAGTGAATGCCTGGTATAAATTTACAAATCCTGTTTTGTATTAGAATATATGAGAGAAATAGTTTCAAAATCCATAGTGTACTGCTGTTCTTTAAATTTAGTTCAGATAAGCATGCATTCTTTCATCTCTACTGGGGCATCTGGGTAGGATTTTACCACTTTCTTCATTTCATAGGTAATATCTCAACTTATAATTTAAAGACAGAGAAAAATAAAACTGAAAACATTTTAAAAACATTTTTAAACAAATATTTGAGAGATCTTTATGAATTGAGTTTTATGGATAAGAAATTGAACTAGGATTGAAGAAAAGATTCCTTTTAATGGGTATTCAAGAGGAAATAGGAGCTCACTGAAGCTAGGAAGAAAATGGAAACACTAACATTTGCAATAAATAGCTCTGATTATTATTATGACTGAATGAAAGTCGACATTTCTCTATTTTACATTTACGAACTAAAGATCTAGCAATGAATAAAGATAAAGGTCTAGCAAGTTTCATAAGCCTGATAGTAAAAATAAAATTACTCTCATTGACAGGTGAAATTGATCTGGCATTTCACAAAAGAGGGTAAATGGATTTTAAAAAATGGTTTTATTCTCCTTATAAGGACACTCAAACTATTTAAATAATTTAAAAGTTATTTATCATGGAAATAGAGTCAATTTTTTATATGCCTGAAGCATTAATGAGTATTCTGAATTTCCTTTCCTCCAGAAAAGTGATAAGCCGAAGTAAAAAATCCCTGAAAGCTATCACATTGTAGAAAACACAATTTTCTCCTTGAGAAAGAATAGTTATTGCTTGCTGCTAAATCTAACACAGGACATACAAAGTTACTGTGGCTATACTGAGCAGAGGAAAAACTCTTCCAGGGTGCTCATCTAGCAAGGCTCATGGGATGTTTTCACCTTGTCACATTTCAATTCCTGAGTATTTGTATCCATTTTCTCAATCTCCTGCATGCCATGCTTCACATAATGCTTTTTCACTCCAACTTCCTTATAGAAGTTTTCATTATTGTTTTAAGTTTTACTCACTGCAATTGCTATTACAAAAAGGGTTATTCTAAATATACTTTTTTTCTGATAAATATGATCTGAACATTTCCCTTCTACTAGCATATCAAAACTTACAGCAAATAGTCTATCACCATTTTGAGCATCGCAGGCCTGATTAAAATGACATATGGACTTTCAAATACACATATCATAATAGTTTCAAACATTAAACAAAATAAAATATAAATAATTATGTGTAATCATAGTTATTAACTTAAACTTAAATGGTTCTAAACCAAGGTTTCTGTCTCTTCATATTCCACATTAACACTTGTATTGTCTAGTATACATTTAATAGTTTTCTTTTTCCTGTTGACTTTATGTGGGCTCTTATATATCAGAAGTCCCCCCTCTTCTATGATTTTTAAATTAATTTATTGGGCTAACATTGATTAATAACATTATATAGGTTTTAGGTGCACCATTACATAATACACCATCTGTACATTGCATTGTGTGCTCACCACCCAGAGTCTTGTCTCCTTCCATCACTATGTTTTTGTTCCCCTTTACCCTAACCCTCCTTTACCTCTGGTAACCACCATACTGCTGTCTGTGTCTATTAGTTTGTTGCTTTCAGTTTTATATCCCTTGGCCTCAGAAGGGATTCTTTTTTTGAACTTGACCCCAAAAGCAAGAAAAGTAAAAGCAAAAATAAATGAATGGGACTACATCAAACTAAAAAGCTTCTGCACAGCAAAAAATGCCATCAACAAAACAAAAAGACAACTAACTTAATGGGAGAAGGTACTTGCAAGCTTCCTTATAATAAGGGGCTAACATCAAAAAAATGTATAAAGAAATCATACAACTGAACAACAATAAAACAAACAGTCCAATTAAAAAATGGGCAGAGGACATGAACTGACACTTTTCCCAAGAAGACATGCAAATGGCCAATAGATACATGAAAAGATACTCAACTTCACTAACTATACAGGAAACACAAATCAAAACCACACTGAGATACTACCTCATACCTGTTAGAATGGCTATTGTCAATAAGTCCAAGAAATAAGTGTTGGAAAGGATGTAGAGAAAAAGGAACCCTCACACACTGCTGGTGGGAATGAAAACTGGTGCAGTCACTATGGAAAACAGTACGAAGGTTTATTCAACAATTAAGAACAGAGTTACCATATGATCCAACCATCTTTCTCCTGGATATCTAACCCAAAAATTTGAATACATGTATGTATAAAAATATACATAGCTCCAATTTTTAACAGTCAGCCATTCCCTGCCCAATGTTATAGAAAGTCTCAACTGAGAGTTATAGCCTTGAAATTATTTCTCTGTTTGGGATTAGTAGCCAAGAAATGGTAATCTTCATAGATGTAAAGAAAAAGAATTACAACCAAAATCTAAAAGCAAATCAAGTAGCACTCTAATGTTAAAGCAGAGAAATTAATGTTTGTCTTGTGAGGAGTCAAGTATAACATTCTGTATAAAATTGCTAAGAGTTGTTTCAACAAATCATGCAGCTGGATTTATTCTCCCTTTACCTTGTAATGACAAATAACATTCAGAATCTTAGAGGCCACTTAATCTTACCTTCCTGCAGGGCTAGAGCTGCTATCTTCACTTTCCCATTGTTCATTTTTACTTCTTGGAATTGGGGGCTGCAGCATTTCAGCAGCTAATGGATCAGCATCATTCTCTTCTCGACCAATCCATTCTCCAATCACGCAGGGTCTCAGAAGAGAAGAACTAAAGGCCACTGTTTCCTGAAGCAGAGAAAAGAATGTGCCACCTTAGATTATTTACTCTGACCAAGAGGACAAGGAAATAAATTTGGCTAGAGTTTCAACTGCTTCCTCATGACAAAAGGTTCTTTTTTTCTTTTTGAATTAACTTAAAACTTCAGTTATCTCCATCTCTACTCGATGACTTGCTCTATGTGATTTGTGCTGATTCCTGAAGGTCCCTGTCATGAAGGGCCCAGGAGTGAAATCTATTTTGATGTAGATGCTGTGCGTGTATTTGTTCTCAGGAAGGAGGTACAGGATGGGTATTTGTGGTAGAAGGAAGAGTGTGTTGTAACGCCCACACAGCGAAAGACCTTGGTGTCATTGGAAAATTTTAAGTAATTTTGCAGGAAGAAAGTGGAAAGGGGTCAGGAAATAAGGAAAAGAGGAGATGGGGCTGGAAGGTGTGTTTCCTCCAACTGGGAGCATTTTGCACTTCGAGGGATCCAGATGAGGCCTCCAGCAGGGCGATGTGAATGACAGGTATCCTATGCTAATTCAAGACATGTTAAAGCGATCTCCTTTCATAGACTTGGATGTGATGTGGCTCTTGAAATGATATTTTCAATATCTGTTATTTAATCATTTGAAATGACATGAGAATACTGTATACACGTAATTACGAGGTCTCCCTTGGTAAGTAGAAAAAGGCAGGTTAAAAATAATACCTATTTTATGATCTAATTTTGTTTAAAAACTCATATGGATGTATGTCCATCATCCATACATTATCTATTAATTTATTCCTTGGCTTATATTTATTAAGACCTACTATGTGCCAGATACTGCTTGATTTGGTGGGAGAAACAACTGTAAAACAGAAATTTAATAGTTTTATCTGAGTACAAGAACCACAGGTTAATTTTAATTTCTTCTTCTGGCATTTCCGTGTCTTTTCAATATTTTATAATAAGTATGCATTAGTCTTATACCGAGAAAATATGTAATTTAAAATATCTTGATCTGAGGAGCACAAGCTTTGCTTAAATTGTGTTTAGCTATAATTTTTAGTACTACAAGAGTTTTGATCAGTTCCTTAAAAATCCAGACCTGGTCTTCTGGGTCTTTACAATTCTTAAAAATAATATACAAATAAAATAATACAATACAAACATAATATAATAACATATACAATGTAATATTAATTAATATACCCATACAACACCTTAGGCATGTGAAAAATGACTAGGACATATCTGAACATTTATCCAAGTGATAACAAGCAACAGAAAGTAGTTGGATATCTTTATATTGATTCCCAGCCCACAATGGAAAATGTAGCAAATATTTTAGTAATAGTGTTGACATAACTTAACAACTGATCTGAATTCCTTCCATATTTATTTTCCCAGAGTCAGAAAATCAAAGCACTATAATGGCTTTCAGCTGTGAAGTCATACAATCAAATTAATGTTTTGTAGTATCTGGAAAGTCATATTCATCTGTCTCTAATATCATTTAAAGTATAAGAATTAAAATTAGCAGCAGTATTGTTAAATTTTAAACCTAAATTTGCTTCTGAAAGCAAATCGAGACAGACATGTTTTAGCATTTAAAAAATCTATAAACTTATTTACAGCTTTTGAATCAGTTTTGGCCTATGTGTTTTTTAAATGTTACTTCTCTGGATTTCGCTTTCTCCAATTGTAAAATGAGATGATGGGAATTATACTACCGTGTCAGATGAATTACTATACTAGGGTAACACAATTAAGCCACAGAATTCTGTACTTATGCTAGAAGACCATTTACTTAAGGATGTGGAATACATTCAAACCACTTCCCCATGCGTGATGTATCTGGGAAAAAACACAGTAAACTGAACTACAGGAATAGGCCAGCTGGGTAAGAATAGACACTTAGTTGTAAATATGAACAGAGAAATGGAACAGAGAATTGATGGAGCAAGTTTAACTCATAACGTTTTTTTATGATAAAAATTATATCAGTTCAGTTTTTAAATTTTAATTTTTGATTCCTAGTAAATGTTTCTGCATATCAACAGTTAAAAGTTAGTGAGTTTTTTATTGAGTTATGCCTTAGCCTTTGGCTGTGCAAGTGGAATTCATTATTCTTTGATGTTTTCCCTTGTGTTGTAGATTCTAACTTGAATCTTCATTGTGGCTCTCCTTTGTAGGACTTTTTCTACCTTTGGTTCCGTTCTTTTCTTATCTCAACTCCCAAGGGGGAGTGACTTAAAGATCCACCCAGATATTGTCTCCAGCTCCACATCCAATCCCATAAAGTTTGATTTTATAGATAGCATATTTCAAAGGTTGGGTCATTAATTCAATGTTATTATTCTCATTTATGTCATGTGGCAGAATTTGGCCTAGAGATTTGTCTTACTATAGGCTCAACATCTAAGAATGGGGCCAAAGAAACTGACCGCTGTAACAAGAGATACGTTCTGACAGCATAATTGAGAAAGTAAAATAGGAATTTAGAGTTGAGTATGATCAAAAATTGAGAACTGCAGAGTATCAGAAAAAAAAAACTTCATTGGTTGCTTATTTGAAATGAAATAAATGAGAGATGCCACTGCTGTTGGAACACAGAGCACAGAGAGAAAGATAAACAGTTTGATATGCAGACTGTTTAACTCCAGCCAGCAGCAGAAATTTAGTGAGAAATAGCTGACGCACAGAGCAATACAAAGAACTGCAAACAAGGTCAGAGGAGTTGGGAGGTGAGTATTTTATAGATGAAGAAAAATGTGACTCTACTATTTTTATTTTGGAGAATGCACAAAGCTTTTTTAAAAAAAAAAATCTGCCCTTTGAAAAAATTATTGCATCTCTAAAATTTCATGAATATGTTCTATTTATGTGTAACAAATTAAAATAACATTTTTCTTTGAATAAATTGCTTATATTTGATTAAGCTAAGTAAATATGTTTCCATAAATCTTTATGAAAGTATTTCAGTGAAGAGAGCAATTCTTTGCACTACATATAACACACCACAAACATCAGTACATGATAAAAAATATTTTTAAGTGCACACTGAACAAAACATGTTTTTGAAAATATTTTAAGTATATGGATAAACAAATCGTTTAAAATTTCATTGCTAAACGATGTAAATCCTAATTATTCCTTCAAAATGTATAAATGCACTTTGCCCTCCTAAGACTAGAGGTCCCTGGATATTGATGTTTTTAACCAAGTACACTTACATTTAATAAGAAAAGCATTTCCAGTCAAAAGTTCTCCCAAAGGGCACAAGTTTGTTTAGTATTTCCTATAAGCATAAAACTAATCTATCCAAGGAGTGACCTTAGACCAGGCCTCCTCTCTCCAAGTAGCCTACCCAGTAGCTAACCCACAATGTGTTCAACTTCTCTGACCACCGGTTATCAGCATATTTGTTTATATTCCATGTTATTTCAATGTTTTCCTTCTTTATAAAGTAACATGTTCACGCAAGGCTGTATCATGTCTTAAATTCTTTTGTTTCCTCCATAACAACTCGCAAACTCTGATTTCATCAAACAAGCACGAAAATTTATGTTGATTAAATTGAAAATAATTCAAAGAATGAAATATAATGCATATGTGGTAAATTATGGAGTATCTTTATGTCTAACTAAAAATCATGTAAATGATTCACAGACAACACTGATTAATAAAAGTTTAGGTCATTTCAGAAGAAAATCTGTAAGATGTTAATCAATTAGAAATAGTAAAATATTTCTTATAAACTCTTAAATTTTAAGTAAATTAATTTAATTCTGCCAGTTCGCAAAAGAAAAATTTTAGAACACAATCACATATTAAGGGTCTGATTTAACAGAAAACCCCATTAAATGTTTGAACTTGATAATTATCCTGAAATTAATCTACACACTGAACCTGAGTTAGCAAGTAAAGAAACTTAATGTAAACAGATAGTTAAAAGTTCTCTTGCTACTGGCCTTTTTCCAGCTTTATTGAAATATAATTGACATATAACACTGTGTAAGTTTAAAGTTGTACAATATGATGTTTTCTTATATGCAGATAATACAAAATGACTAGTCATCATATCTATCACCTAACAAAATTACCTTATTTTTTTGTGGTAAGAACTTTTAAGATCTAGTCTCTTAGCACCCTTCAAGAATTCAATACATCAATAGTACTGTTAACTATAGCCACCATGCTGTGCATTAGATCCAAGAACTTGAATAGTTCTTCTAACTGGGAGTCTGTACCCTTTGACCACTTGCATCAATTTCTCTAGGCCCCTACCTGCTGGCAAACACCATTCTACTCTGCTTCTGTGAGTTTGGTTTATTTAGATCCCACATATAAGTGAGATCACACAGCATTTGTCTTTCTCTGTCTGACATTTCACATAGCACGATGACCTCAGGGTACATCCATGTTGTTACAAATGGTAGTATTTCCTTCTTTTTATAGATGAATAATATTTGTGTGTGTGTGCAAAAACACCAAAGAAAAGCAAGGAAATAAAGGGTGAGCCCAGGAATATTTATTCCATGTCTACCAAGTACTAGTTTTGAGACTTTGCAAAAATGTAATTCAATTACTCTAGCCTTAGTGTCCTCATTCACAAAACAGAAAATGCATATGTACTTCATTGGACTGGTGTAAGAACTAAATTCAATAATATCAGAAAATGCCTAGCATACCTCCCAACCCAAAGAGGTGTCCAATACTATCACTCCTTGTCTTCTCTGCTGTCTTCTCCACCCTCCTTCCCATAATCTAAAACATTTTACTCTTTTAATATAAATTTTCATGTAAACATAAAAGTAGAAAGAATCATAGGATAAACCACTTTGTACCCACATTTTAGTCAATTATCAACTCCCATTATCCATTATCATGGGTACACTCCCTCCTTACCTCAACTTATATCACTTCTATATTTTCCCTTCCCTGTCCAGACCACTTTGAAGCAAATCCCATTCACTATATCATATCCTTTGTAAACAGTCCAATATGGAGCTCTAAAAGAGTGATTTTTATAGA